CTCTGCAATTTGTTGCTCGGCCTCGTGTGAGTCCTGCAACTGTCGTTCAGTTTCCTTAATTTTAACCTTTAGATGTTCCAGCCTCTGCCTCTCTATATTCCCGGAGGCAGCCGTTATCTGGTTGTTCAAGCTCGCTCGTTTTCTCATAAGGATCCGTCTGTCCCTCGGAATTATGTGACGTTTGGAGGTCGTTTTTTCCGGCGTGTGATGCTCGCATACCTGCAGTAATACTTCGCATAGTTTGTTGTACATTGTTTCGGCGTTTAATTCCAGGAACTCAGATCTCCAGTCAATTTCGAGGAGTTCGTTCCCATATGTCGTTCACCAATCACCCATTTCTGCCCACATGCCCTTCACTACACACCCATTTCTGCCCATATTCCGTTCACCACACACGCATTTCTGCCCATATGTCGTTCACCACACACTCATTTCTGCCCATATGTCGTTCACCACACACCCATTTCTGTCCACATGCCTGGCTTGCGGTGTTTCTCTCGTGGTCTGCAACTTTGTAGTTCTGAGGTTGTGCATGTTTAGGCTTAGAGTTTGCTAGAGCTTTAGTTCAAGAATTGAAATTGTGGCCAACGGCTGCGCTATCATCTATCGTATGAACACAGTGGCTTGAGGACTCGTAGCGGCCTGAGTGCACGTACGTAGCGGTTGAAGTGCACGAAGCGGCTTAAGTGCACGTAGCGGCCTAAGTGCACGTAGCGGCTTAAGTGCACGTAGCGGCCTAAGTGCACGTAGCGGCTTAAGTGCACGTCGGCCTGAGTACCTGCACTTAGCGGAGAAAATGACAATGAATGATATTGTGTCCGACATTATAAATGTTTTTCCTACGCTCGACATGGTGGTCGTAGGCAGCGGGACGTTGTTTGAGTCTCAACTGCAGAAAAAAAAGTCAGAGAATATGACCATGAATGATTTTGTGTCTGACGTTATGGATATTTTCCCTATTCTCGACATGGTCGGGTGGTCGCAGGCAGCGGATTGTTCCTCGCGTCGAAGCTGCCCATCTTGGCGGCGACCTGCCGCGCCTTCAGCAGCACCACGAGCGTGGGGCGCATCGCCTGCTACGGCGCGCTGCTGGCCAAGCTCGACGCCTCGCACGTGGTTTGTTATAAGCGTGTAGACGACAATCTACTTTTTGACAATATTGACGACAATATATTTTGTATACTATGTAGACAACAATCTACTTTGTAACCATATTGACCACAATCTACCTTGTAACCATGTAAACGACAGTCTACTCTGTGACCATATTGACAATAATCTACTTTCTAAACTATGCTGACAACAATCTATCTTTCAACCATGTAGACAATAATAAACTTTGTGAACTATGCAGACAACAATCTACCTTTCAACCATGTAGACAACAATAGACTTTGAGAACTATGCAGGCAACAATCTACCTTTCAACCATGTAGACAACAGTAAACTTTGTGAACTATGCGGGCAACAATCTACCATGCAACCAAGAAGACAACAGTAAACTTTGTGAACTAAGCAAATAACAATCAACTATGCAGACAACAACTCTCTAGACAACAAGAGTCTACTTTCCCTAGCCTTGCTCACTTTATGTTGCCAATCCAAAAATAAATATTTCCTTCCTGGGCAGGAAAACAAAACCAGAGCACATTTTGTGCTCGTTAGCCCAATGAAGTTTAGCTTAAGTTTTCAAACTCTATGCTTTAATATTTAAAGAATTCGGGATTAAAAGTTTATTTAATAATTTTAATTAAACTTAAAGAGATGGCTTGAATCATGGCTCAATGGACAGGAAAAGACTCTTTGCTAATTTAAATATTAATTGAGATTCTATGCATATAAATGAAATATAACACTCGTTGTTTCTTATCTGTACAGAAGCCAGGAGCTGTCGTTTACGTCACCAATGTCCACAATCAGGTAATGCCATGGTCTAATATTTGTTTCCAATACTCATAATAAGAATAGACATGGGTTAATTACTTAAGTGAACAGTTGAATGAAGATATGAACATGATTCCCTTTCCCTTCGCAATAACTTACTATGCTGGTCCACAAATTCTGTGAAAATTGGGTCCCATCGCAATTTGATAGCTGGAATAAACCCAAAGTTATTTCTGTTTATTTCATTTACGAGAGAGTTTCAGAGAAACCTTATTAGTGAAGGAGTCTTATAATTGACTGTGTAACCAATTTAAGAACGGACTGTGCCAAACCAGCCCTTAAATTTTAAATATTTTAGGCCAAATTCCCGAAATCTATCGTTTCCGCTAAACTGTTGGATCGTTTTTGTGCCTATGTAAAATATCTGTATTCTTGAAAAGAAATCAATCGCTCACACCATTATTATTATTTGTAGCGCATTTTCTCATGAAAAAAGGCGCTATTGTGCTCGCCATGTCCGTCCGTCCGTCTGTCTTTCTGTCCGTCCGTGACTTCACGTTTTGGTCGACGAGAAAATGCGCTCTCTGTCACTCGCTGCAGTGAGTACTGAGTTATATATATTTTTTTGTTATTGAACATCTAAGAGCACTCGTTGTACGTACGCCTTCTGAGGTAATACATATATTTAATTTATATATATTCCCATTACTATATAATAATATATCATAAGGTATTATTTTATTATGTACCAACGTATTCACCGCAGGCCTACAACGAGACGCTTCTCGCCGCCGCCGCCACGGAGGCCCAGGGCTGGACCGAGGCGTTCATCAAAGACACTTTGGACGCCGGCGAGCAGATCCTGTGTACCATTTACGGGGGAGACTTTAATGGCGACAACATTTCTCCTGGTGAAGGGCTGCTCTGTGGTTGCTTTTGTTCCTTCCTAAATCGTGTAACGCAATAGCCAAATCGTAAATGTGGGAGACTACCTTCTCCTTCAGTAGTCGTAATAATTTCGCCACGCCGAATCTCCAAAGTAACTCGAATTTCTACAGTTATTCTGCGATTTCTTCTTCTTTATGACAGCGCCATCTTTTTCTTTCCAGCATCGCATCAAAATGAAGATTAATTGCGGTCGTAAAGAATGAATACAATTATTCTTACATTACCGCATTAATTATTAAAGTTTCTTCTATTTTCAGCCGATCTTTACTTCAGAAACCGTGAAATAATTTGCTTATTTGAGCGGTAAATTATCAGAATTTTTGGCTAACTTCTCAGTTACCCAGACTTACAAAAAAATAGAATAATTCTCCTATTCTGGCGAACTATCAGGATTTTTCCGGTCTATCAGCTAAGTGCCGTACAGAATAACTACGTAGCCTCTAATATTGTATCGTAACCTTTAATAACTACCTTTTCGACCTCGTTAGGGATGACTACGTAACCTCTAATATTGTACCGTAACCTCTAATATTGTACCGTAACCTATAATATTGTACCGTAACCTCTAATATTGTACCGAAACTTCTAATATTGTACCGTAACCTTTAATATTGTACCGTAACCTCTAATATTGTACCGTAACCTGTAATATTGTACCGTAACCTCTAATATTGTACTGTAACCTCTAATATTGTACCGTAATCTCTAATATTGTACCGTAACCTGTAATATTGTACCGTAACCTCTAATATTGTACTGTAACCTCTAATATTGTACCGTAACCTCTAACATTGTACCGTAACCTCTAATATTGTACAGTAACCTTTAATATTGTAGCTTTAAAGTATCGTAATTTCCTTCCTACTTCCAGCGGACCGGCCACTGCAGGATCACCCCATGTGGGGGGAGTACCTGGACGCGTGTCGCGTGGGGCCGGGAGAGGACCAGCCGTGGGCTGTAGGCACGGAGATGCGTCAGAAGAAGATGTATCATCACAACGTCGTCGACCACGAGATCTTCGCTGACGTACTTAGAGATGACGTGCAACGTCGCTTCTTTGTCATCGATGCTGATGTTGAGGTACGGCTGATTACGTATGAAAAATACCGGAGTTTAGATCTGTTTTTTATATCCTGTATGCCATCAAATGCGTTAAAGAAAGACGTTAGCTGCAATAAAGAATCGTCGCTGTGCTTATATTGTCAGAGCCCAGACGATAAATGTCACGTTATTTGTATTTATTGCAACCTAGTGTAATCGTCCCTAACAATGAAGAATCTCTGCTTCGAGTTTCAAATTTCAAACTCCTGTATCTCGATATCGGAAGTTAAACTTATTTTCTGTTTTAGATGTCATACAATTTTATATGAATGAGCATACGTCTAGCGAAATGTGCTTTAGGATAATTTGCATTATTACTTCCCAACACGACCTAATCTCACTACGATATTTCTGGGATTCATTCTCAATCCACGAAAAACATTCGTGTTAGCCTTGGCATGCGTGACTCCCACCCTGCGATAGATAAGTTAAACTCATTTACTTGAATGGTTGGTAGACTCGCACGCACGACCCGAATTATTCACGCATTTATTAGTCTATTTTAATGTTTGGCAGGCTAGTCTTACAAAAAATCTATAATTGTCTTACAAAAATATATTATTTTGAAGCATATTCACTGAAAATAATTATCTGGGTAAGTTGCCAAATCGATGTCATTCACGGCATGGCGGCCCCTGACAGGTCTCTACCTCCAGTGAAGCACTATCACCTCCATAGTGAAGCACTATCACCTCCATAGTGAAGCACTATCACCTCCATAGTGAAGCACTTAATGTTTGGCAGGCTCACACTTATGACCTACTTCACGCATTTAATTCTTTTCTTTAAATGTTTGGCAGGCTCGCACTTATGACCTACTTCACGCATTTAATTGTTTACTTCGAATGTTTGGCAGGCTCACACATATGACCTGATGAGCTGCGAGCCCGTGCCTGACGACGACGGGACGGTGCGTGCCAAGGCATGGGGGGGACTACGAAGAATTGACAGACTCTTGTTGCGCAGGACAAAGAGTATATCCAATGACCTCACCGAGGCTGGAATCAAACTTGATGTTACCGCAGGTCATATGGGAAAAACCGCGAAATCTATGGAGAGTAAAAGTTTGTCAAATACAGAGAAAACTTATGCTAATTTGCTGGAGGATGGTTGCCGAGGGTCTCTACAAGAAAACAAGACAGCAGCGAATCAAAAGGATCGTAATGATGATGAGGTATCAGGATTTGAGAAACTCTACGGCAAGAAATACGAAGAGCTTGAAGAAGCTGACTTGCCTGTCATTGAGAGCGTTTGGTTCCCTACTGTCCTTAGTAGTATGACTGACCACATTCCTTACGCTATACAAGTTAAAGTATCTACAAAACCTTAATATGACTGCAGATTTCAAACACATTCCCTTCTGTCCTTAGCAGTCTGACTGTTCACATTCCTTACGCTATACAAGTTTAAGTATCTACAAAACCTTGATATGACTGCAGAATACGAAGACATTCCCTACTGTCCTTAGCAGTATGACTGATCACATTCCTTACGTTGCAGAATGCGTTCACTTACTTACAAATTTTAGCTAAACGGAGTCTAGAATTGGCGATGATTAATTTTAGAACTTCAAGCGCTTGATGATAATGATTTTCCGAAAAAACCGTGTTATATGTGAGTAGTTACGTCGACACAAATTCCGAAGTTGTTATTTGTATGTTTCCAGATTTAAACAAATTTGATGCAATATTGCCCGTGCTAAGCATTAACTAAGGAGCGGACACGGTGATGCGCAAAAATAATACTAAACAAAAAAACTATGTAGAACTAAGTAGACTATACATAATAGCCATTTAAGTTTTAAGTAAACTTATAACTTGGTATCCTCTAGGAAAGATTGTGAGGTGATACTTCTTGTTTAGTTACAAAGCCAATGGCAAGAAATGCGGTCACAAATAATACTTAATGTCGCCAGTGAAAGAACGGCCGCGGCCTCCAATTGACGATCGTTAAACATAATCACGCACTCAGTAAAACTCTTTATAATTCATTATTCATTTAAGCCTTGGGCTCATGTTGCTTCGTCGGTGACTGAAGATATGATTCACACTAGATATCTACGTTGAAATAAAATTGATCGAACGTTGTTCCAAAGAAATGAACGTTGTTTCAACGAAATCAACGTTGTTTCAACAAAATTAACGCGTAATCAATGTTATTTCAACGTCATTTGCCATGAGGGAACTTGAAGAAAGTCAGGCTGCTGCTGCGCTCTCTTATACTGTCAATTGAATGTCCTGTAGCTAAACTAACTCGTAGGTTCCGTAGATGTTAGGTGTAATTCAGCAGCTTTGAAATTGGTACTTATGCCATCGTGGTTCTGAACGACTTAGTCTCTCGCTATTATTGCCTGCGCTAATTATACTACTGTAATTAGAGCATGTGGCATTTATGCTGCTCTTTTTCATAATAACTGCTATATAAAGAACAATTAATGTTTTAAGCATATCATATAGGTCGTGGAGTTAACACAATAAACAAACGTATTAAAAACCAAAAGACGGGAATGATTTAGTTCCCTCTACTTTTAAGCGCATATCGTAGATTATTTCTATTTGTTGTGAATCCTACAAATCCAGGTTGACTTAATCATAATTTATCCATTTTCAAAGCATGACTTACTTCTATTATATATTATCTCATTGAGTTTATAAAGGTACCTATGAGGTCATTTATAAAAGTTTATCTTACTCTGATGCTATGAAAGCTGAACTTCTTCTGAATAAAGTTTGTTATGAAATTGGCTTTCTATTTATCCTGTTGATGTTAATAGGAGGGTAAGTAATTAGTTAATTTTCTTCTCTGTCGACCCACTCACATTTTTTATTGTCCGTCTAGGAATGACAACCAGTTTTAGTTCTGCTCTTTCTTACAAGCAGATTACAATTTTCTATGTTATATTTTAGATTGTTTTCTCTCGGTAGAGTACAAAATTATCCACTGTTCTATCAATATTCGCGCGCTTGCTTTCTTGTTTTTCTGTTGTTTTCTCGAGTTGGCTTGAGGTCAAATAATACAAAAATTAAAATGGCCTAGATTGAAAAATTTTCCATGAAAAGCATAACAAATTGCTAAAAATTTGAAAGCATTCTAAATAAAACGATAAAACACTCAGTGAAGCCGCAAAACATTTTTAGTGTAAGAGTAAAAATTGTCAGAGTAACAAATTGGCATCACCAATTTCACATAGAGCCGCATTTGATGTAGCCACATATGCTATTAACACCATATATGCTTGTTTTTGCTTCATTACGATCACCAAACTTTACATTCTTCCAATACAAATGGATCTCTTTCACTTGCAATTTAGAGGCAAAACTTCCTTGCTCTGTTAATTTCAACGAAATAAGGGAAGTGATGCACAGTTCAACTATCAGATCTAACACTCGTCCCATAAAGAGATTAGCGATGACGCGATAGTGCCCGTATCGACGGTGACCCTCCCTCTGTCGTCACGACAACGAATCGTGATGCAATGTCTGACTCATATGTTGCATACAAATGTAATCAATATTCACTGCGTTAATGGTTAAGTACTCGAATAATGCATGCAAAAACTAACATATAAGTTGTAAAATTTGTCAACTCTAATTTTATTCCCACAAGAACGATAGGAATTAAAAGTAACAGTTTAGTTATCGGTGACTCACCTTCCAACGCGGCAGCTCCAGCGTGGAACTTAAATGCTATAAAGCGCGCGAGGTACAGCGGCAGCGATGTATACTACGGGACAGCCTTACCCTCGACCCATACAAGCAGCTGATCATAATTTTATTGTAGCAGTGACATAATTAAGTACATTGGTAACTGTTTTTATGATAACTGTTTCTTGATGATCAATTGATTAAACGGTAATTATTTTGTCTAATAACGGCACTGAAATAAACATTCCAGCATAGCGAAAAACTGTATTTAAATTTATTTGTACGAACTGATCGTAGGAAACCGATTGTGCTGTTAATTTAAACTATCTTAAGGTTGCGTGATTTGTTAATAATTCGAATAACGCCGGTATGGGCCTGCTTCTAAGTCGCATCTACTCACTAGTCTACGGAAAAACTCCTTGCAGGATACTCATGAGTAAGTTATTATCTCCATAAATTATATAAAATAACATATGCCAGGCGAGGAAATACTATTCAGATTTAATAAGCCCAAACTTTTGGGAATTATAATGATTTTATACGGCTTTACTTTTTACCATTTTTATATATTAATTAGTTATTGGGTCAATAGTTTCTTTTTGCCGTATTCAAATGATGCTTGAAATCTCATGTGAAACTTATTTCCTGTTGAGTTCATCATATTGAGATTTTCGAAGCTTTTGACCTATGGTCCTTTTACGGCAATGCTTTTTAAAGTGCTGGTATATAGAAAATTTAAATCCAATTAGTGTGATGTTAAAAATTCTTATGTGCTAATTCAACGTAGACTTATTGTACATTTGGATTTCCAGTCGGTCTGGACGGCGCTGGAAAAACAACAATTCTTTACAAGCTCAAGCTCGGCGAGGTCGTAACCTCCATCCCCACGATCGGTGAGTTGAAATCGTTTCATTATCTCGATCGATCAGGTGTAATCGTTCCATCCCACGAACGGTGAGTTGAAATCGTTTCGTCTTCACAATCGGTGACTTAAAATTACTTCTCCTCCACCACATATGAGATGAAATCGTTTCAGGTGACAGGTAAGATAAATTTTGCCATCATCTCGTTCAGTGAGGTGAAATCGTTTCATCATCCCGATCGGTGAGATGAAATCATTCCATATGACCATTTCCATGATCGGTTAGTTGAAATCGTTCCATCTTCACGATCGGTGAGATGAACTCGTTTCATATCCGTGATTGGTGAAATGAAATCGTTCCACCCCCACGATCAGTGAGTTTAAATCATTCCATAGCCACAATGTAAGATCGTGAATCTTTTCAACTACAAAGTTGTCTGACGCGCGAAAACATTCCATGTATTTTAATGTAACTTCACATCAGCCTAAATCGAAATGAAAAACAATGACGATGACACAATTAAAATAATAATTTTGCCATAAATTTTTGCTGACGAATCCAGTTTTAGGTTTCTGATTATTGCGATTGTTGAGTGAGAGAATTTGAGACAATGGCCAGTAGTATGATTCGTGGCTAGATTAGATTAATTTGTCAAAATAAAACAGTGTCTCTAGGTATTAACTAGAGTAAAGGTAGTCTTTTGAGTGAGAGAATCTGTTGAAGTGGTCAGGAGTAGAATTCGAAGTTGTACAATCAATTCATCCGTGAATCATCTTTATCATTTCGTCGCTAGGTTTCAACGTCGAGACCGTAGAATACAAGAACCTGGCACTCACCGTGTGGGATGTAGGAGGTCAGGGGCAGCTGCGCGGGCTGTGGCGCCACTACTACCAGAACGCCAACGCCGTCATCTTCGTCGTGGACTCAAGCGACACGTCGAGACTTGTAGAGGCTAGGAATGAAATTTACACTGCCGTGAGTTCCATTCCCGGTATTCTTGAGAAAATATTTTTTATTTAAGTGATATATTTCGATGTTATATCTTGGGGTGACAGCTTTGATTATGTTGGCCAGTCGCCGATTCTAAACCACCTTGCCTCCATGCCAAGTTTGACCAGAACCTACACAATTAGTTGCGTGTTTTAAACCCTCAATTCGCTGCTATGATCTTAGTTCTCTTGACCACTCGATCGCTTCGAGCTCTGGTCTATGTATTAACCTATTTTAATCAACTCATACCTCGAATTAGTGAAACACGATGAGCATCCAAAACTTCAGACGGATTTGAATAGTTGATTAACATTTTCAGCTGACATCGGACGAGCTCCGCAATGTTCCGGTCCTGGTGTGGGCCAACAAACAAGACATGCCGCAAGCCGCAAGCGCGGACGCTGTGCTGCGGGCGCTACGTTTGCCGGATGCCGGACGCCGGGACTATCACTGCGAGCCCTGCGTTGCCATCACGCATACCGGTCTTATTGAAGGGCTGGAGTGGCTGGCTCAGCACATCAAGCTCTAAATTACGATTAAATTAATTAATTATCTGTAGGTATTAGCACCAATGAATGGTATTGATGTATAGACTAGAGTGGCTGGCTCAGCACATTAAGCTCTAAATTACGCCTGAATATTTATACGTATTACCACCAAAAAGTGTCTTGATGTATATATTGGCTAGAGTGGCTGGCTCATCACATTAAGCTCGGAATTACGAGTGAATATTTACTGTTATTAGCACCAAGGAATGGTATTGACGTTAATTTTTTCGTTGTCCAATGCGCAAGTATTTTTTTCAAGTAAATATGATCTGATATATTATCTGCTCTATATCAGATTCATGTGTTTCCCCATTTCGAATATTTTTCCATCATTCTATGGAAAACGCAATTAATCGTTCAATCTCTGAAGTTTTCAGCAAAGAACCTATATTAATCAACCAATACAGAATTTAGCTATTTTCACAGTACTGCAAAGCACTTATCTACTAACTCCCACGTTTTGCTAGTCTTATTTGCATTCTTCTATTAAAATTTGCAAGCTTAATAAACATGAATTTAAGACTAAACTGGTTCAACTAAATAACCATACGAGTTTAAAAGAGCAATCTTTGTACAGGCACCTACGAGTATCCAGGAGTGATGTTGTAAGGGTATTTTATTATTAAATAAAGTGAGATTTATTAACCCATTCGAAATTATTAAATTGATTAACTACGTAACTTTTCTTACCGCTCTCTTATTTTGTCGTGCCCGGAAAATTATGAATGCTTGTGGAATGTGTATAGATATCGATCGAGACTTTTGTGAGTGACAAATCATGACTTAGATCGCCTAAGATTCGACTGGATGTTTTCATATGAATGCTGATCATATATAGTCGGCAAAATAAATCGTATTATATTATATTGGCAACAATAATATTATTTTTAATTTGTTTGAACACGTATTGTCAACAAACAACAGCCGGTAGCAGCGCGTTGCCATGGAGACGAAAGCAGCGTCTATGCAACTGAGGGACGCCTAGCTTTAGTGTTCACGACTGCGATTGCTATGCAAGATTTTATTTATAGTGATCATTTATACGTGGCTGGTTGTAATTGGCGATGATTAGACCTCATTTTAATCACAATTTTCACCGATAATGCACTATTTATTAAGAAAACGTTAACAAGCATCACTGTACAGTGAACAATCAACTCGTCACTCGGACCAACTTACCTAATATTCGCGAGGCTACACACAGATTTAACTACTCAGTGATATACTCAGCTATGTCTTACAAGTAAGTCGTGCCTGCGGAAATAGGTGGGTAGATTTAAAGTAACTACAAAGCTAGATTTAATTTTTTCAATTGTTTAGCGAGAAAATAGTATATTCTCATCTAGAAGCGAAATAGCATCACTCTAGTGACTTATCGTTTAGCCGAATTTGAAGAAAAAAATGATGATAACCTTAAATCAGATTCTTAATTTATTTACATTCAATGATAAATTTTTTTGATTTGTGCTGTATTGATTTATTTAATACCTCATGTTATTAGTAATGCCATTTTTGGTAACGAAGTTTATAACCTCGATTAGTGAAGCTCCCGAGTCAAGGATTGCGACGCTCCTGATTGCCGAGGTTTAAGTTATTGACCCTTTTAATAAATTTATATTAAAGAATTATATACACGAACGATAAACCGCGAGATTAACAGTTAACACAATTTAAGAAAATTAATTAATTTAATATGAGAACATAAATCGTAGAATTGGTATCGCGGTATGGAATTGGCATCCCTTCAAATAAATGAACCGGCATCACACCGGTTATCGTAACAACGAATGAATTATTTCTCACTATTCTCGAATTACATCAGCATTGCAATAATTCCTATTTATAACTTCTCAGTCTTCTGAAGTCTCTGACACGTTAATTTAATCTTTGCACTTTACCCAGTACAAAACTATTTAGCTTCAGCTTCAGCTACACGGAAACACTTTAACAAGAACTACCCGCTCTCATAGAATTAAAGTAATAATGTTAGTTCGCTCGCACTTTCTTACTTGCTCATTGCAGGGGATGCACTCATAGAAAGCGTTGGTGCTCTCAAGTACGTTTCGTTGACTTTTAAGGAACTCTCCTAACAAAATTTAGAGTCGCCCCAGTTTCTGATTTGGGGTACCAGAAGCTGGGGCGACTCTAAATTTTGATAGGGTCAATTTTGCTGTCGATGTTGAGGTAAAGCTTGCAAAATATTAACTGTTGCATTCATTTGGAGCTTAGGTTGACAAATTACCTCCGAAGAAATCGTGGTCATCCTCGATTCTCGTTGGGTTTAGCAATAAGACGTGACCGCAGCAAATCACGAGATTGAACATGAGTTAGGCGATGTATAGTTTTAGCGGCGAAAAGTATCTTCAGAGGTGCCCTGACTTAACTTCCATTAAGATACAAAAAAAGCATGAACGCATACGACTTTAGGTCCAATTGTGTGAAAAACTTGGAATGTACTAAATGGTAATAATTTGACAGAATGTATGCAGTACATCAAAGGCAAAAATAACGGGATTTACTAACAAATTTTTCGATAACCTATCCAGATCGCAAGAAATTGGATTTTAAAATTATAGGTTGATGGCGATGTCAAAATTTACATGAATTACTAAAAATCCCAATGAATCTCCCATGTCGCTTGATCATGCCAAGAGAAATGAAGCATTGATCAATGGCGCTCGATGCGTCTCTAGCGAAAATGAAGCTGGTATAACGTTGCTACACCATCTCCTGACTAGACAAGTTGGCATACATTTCAGACAATGTTGTAATATTTATTATGAATTTTAATATAATGAGAAATCTCATTGGAGCAAGCAATTCAGCGGCTTAGTGATATCATACTCAATTATGTCTTACAAGTAAGTCGTGTCTGCTGAAACAGGTGCGTAGAGTTAAACTACAATGCTAGATTTAATTTTTTAAGAATTGTTTAGCTAGGAACTAGCATAATGTCATCCAGAAGCGAAATAGCATCACTCTAGACTGGCATTTTTGCCAGTCTAGAGTGATAGGATATCTGTCAAATAGGATATCTTGGATTGTATCTAAGATATCCTAGATATCCTAATTAAACAGTAATATCAATTTAATATATATCAATATAACTGGAATATCAAATTAAACTGGAATATCCTAATTAAACTGGAATTAAACCTCAGGACCTACAACCTGATGTGGCAGGAGGCTCAGGAGGAGCTAGCGAACCTCCTTCGGGAAGACGAGGCACTCCGTCGTACCATCATGTTCAAGGTTTGGCTTCATCTCACGTGTAGGACTCTTCTTCGAATTATCTTGTTAAATAGAAGTCATTGGAGTATCCTCTATTCACTGCCTTACATCTTTATTTACTGCCTTACATGCTCCTACACCTTCAAGTCCTCATTACTACTTTCACTAATGTCCCCGGTTGAGCCGTGTCACAAGACAGACGTGCGTGCTGCGCGGGCTCACAGCTTGCCTTTTCACAATGCGGTTGAACTGTATTAACGCATTTTGTATTGAAACGTCTCACTAAAAGGACTTGAAGTGAAGTCAGTGAAAGAGAATGCAAACAGAGAGTGGAAGTAAATAGCGGTTCCCTGTTTACCTTATCGAACCCGGTGGAAGTCTAGTAGCTACTTCAAACTATCGCCAGTCATGAAAAGATCCGGTCAAATGACACGAGTTTAGATCTATGAACAAGGCACGAAAAGGAAAAGAATCGGTGACAGGCCACATCAGGCCTACATTTCAGCGCCGACATCATTATGTTATGTTATGTTATAAAGTCAGTGCTTAAACTCTGACTGGTAATGTTAATTTCGGTACTATGATAAATAATGATAGATAAATTAGATTTGAAAGTTGGATGCATATAAATTTACGTTTCTAGGATACTATATCCATGACTGAGTTGAGATTTTTTTTTCTTGAGCGAAGAATACGCAGCATTAATCTATATATTATCTTGCTCAGAAAAGTTAGTCAACAGTACCAGATGCATGCCTTTTCGAAATATTATTAATCAAACATCGAAGCAATTTTTACTTCATTGCTACATAAATTTTCTTAATTTTAAGGGTTTTGTTTCCAAGACAAAATGTGATTCACTGACGCGGGTGGAGTCATTCTTGTTTGACGGTTGAATTTGTTGGCTGAAATACAGCGCGATTTGTCCACTTGTCTGCACAATGCACACAAAAGAATAAGTCACACTGTCCAAATACTGACACATTTTCTGCATGTAGCGCTGATACGCCCTTATGCCTAGCCAAACTGGGTCAAGATCACCCACAAAAGAACTAAAAGTGCATTGCTATTTAAACAGTCCCACTGATTTCCTTGAGTGCAGCGCAGTGCGCTGGTCGCGGCCCTGGAGCGGCAGTACGTGCGCTGCGTGATCGTGTCTCGTAGCCTGGATACGGTGCACGACAATCTCAAGCAGCCGCAGCGCCGGCAGCTGGTCAGGCAGCAGCTCGACCTCAGCCTCATACGCCTCCTGGAGATAAAGGTGCGAGTAGCTGCTAATCCTTCATTCCAAACAGATTACGTTGAAAAATATAACTCAGTACTCACTGCAGTGAGTGACAGAGAGCGCATTTTCTCGTCGACGAAAACATGAAGTCACTGACGGACAGACAGACAGACAGACGGACGGACAGACAGACAGACGGACGGATAGACGGACAGACGAACAGACATGGCGAGCACAATAGTGCATTTTTTTCATAAATGAGAAAGCGCTAAAAGGGTTGATTACGAAATGATTCAGTTGCAACAACGTTGACTACGAGTTGATTCCGTTGCAATAACGTTGATTACGAGTTGATTCAGTTGCAACAACGTTGATTACGAGTTGATTTTGTTGCAATAACGTTGATTACGAGTTTATTCAGTTGCAATCATGTTGATTATATGTTGATTCAGAGCAATAACGTTGATTACGAAATGATTCAGTTGCAATAACGTTGATTACGAGTTGATTTAGTTGCAATAACGTTGATTACGAGTTTATTCAGTTGCAATCATGTTGATTATATGTTGATTCAGAGCAATAACGTTGATTACGAGTTGATTCAGTTGCAATAACGTTGATTACGAGTTGATTCAGTTGAAATCACGTTGGTTGCGTGTTAATTTTGTCGAAACAACATTTTATAAACTTTATTTAAACGTGAAATGTCAAATGGAAATTTGTTATTTGCTGTTTTTTGCTGCTGAGATTGTACATGTATGCATCATTGTGGATTTTTTACGTATTCTGTGTTGCTTAAATTAATGTGGTATTTTTCTTGTGAATTGTTTTTGTATGATCCTCTGCTCGTTATCAAGTGCATATAGAACCTCTTATGGGGCCCAGCAAGTCAAGTTATCTGCAGAACATCCATCAGCTAGAGAATCAGTGTGGTGCGAACTTAATCTAAAAGGCAAAGATAGCCTCCTCATAGGCGTCGTGTATAGATCACCAAACAGTTCTTCTGATAACGATAAAATACTAAACAGTCTTTTACCTAGCATGAC